AATATTAAGCACCTGAAATAAATAGTAGACTATAATGCTAATAAGACACCTTTGTACTTTTACATCGGCTTTGGTTTTAATTTTCCGTTACACCCCAAGCTAAGGCGTTAGCCCATCATCGCTCGGTTTCTTCTCTCGAAGGATGTAAGGATTGAAAAATAAATAACGATACGGAAAAGTAAATTGCAGAAAGTAAATTGCAGAAAGTAAATTACAAGAAATGGAAATACTGGAATTTAAAGTACTGAAAATTAAATGACAGAAATATAAATGACTGAAAGTAAATTGCTGGAAATTAAATGACGGAAATGTAAATTGCAGTAAAGTAAAGACTGAAATGTAAACGACTGAAATATAAAGACTGAAATATAAAGTACTGAAATATAAAGACTGAAATGTAAATGACTGAAATATAAATTATTAATAACTAAATATTATTAATTAATATTATTCTAAGACATGATGGATGACAATTAGTACTTGATGGGATGAGAACATGACTAATGACAACCTTGAAAAGAGAGTTTGACTTTGAGGGAACTTGCAAGTCAAGTAACAAAACTTGCAAAACAAGTTTCGTTACAAAGACCAAAAAGGTTACTTGCAAAAATAGATTATTTAGTCTACGTAAATAAGTCGTGAGCCACAAAGGATGAGATCCAGTGTAAAGCAACAGAAATCGACTAATTCGTAACTCGTAACAAAAGTAATAAAACGTAACGTAACTTGGAATTAAAAACAGAAATGAGATGAAGGTTAAATACGAGTACTTAAATTAAAGTTGAAAACGAAATCTCAACTTCACTTCACAAAAATCGGTTCTTGATTTGAAACAAGAAAACCGAAAGCTTGGAACAAAGATCATTAATATCAAAATGAGAGAAAGCATGTAAATTGGTGAATTGGTGGTTTAAACTAAAGCCTTAAGCCTTCTATTTATAGGCTAAGGAAGTTGCTAAGTGGGAGCCACCTAATAAGACAAAAGGCTCTTCAAAAATAGGCTTTGACCGAGCCCAAGGTCGTTGACACAACAATCTCTAAGGAGCAGTCCACGAATTCACGGCCCAGGCAGAAGTACAGCTCCCGGATAGGTGCTATAGGACTTTGCCACTCCTGGTCCAACAAGACTGCTACAGGATTGGGCCCAAAAATATCAAAAACCTGCATAAACAGGGAATTAACATTAGATATACTATATTACTACTAATATATGAAAAAGACTTAAAAAGACTCAATTAAGACACTAATGGGCAAATAAAACAAAGGAAAATGGTTAAGAAAATGATGTAATAAGGTTAATAAATTAACACTTATCACACCCCCAAACTTGAATTGTTGTTTGTCCCTAAACAACAGAAAATGACAAATTAAAAGACTCAAATTTCTAATAAACTAAATTTTTTTGAGCATAAGTATTCAATAGCCAAAGTATGCATATTTTTTTTGCAAATTTTTTAAATGAAAGTGTTCTACTCTTGACTTGATGCTTGATATCCATAGCCCTTCATAAACCTAGCTCCCCCAAACTTAAATCTTTCATATTGCCAAACCATAAGCTAGCCTACATTTCTTATGCTATACTAGATTCAATAGATAATTTGGGACTTTGAATTGGGTTTTGCATTTGGCTTTTTCTTTTCAATGTATGCCTTTTACCTCATCTTACTTTTTTTTCACTCCATAGCACAATTTTACTGCTATGCATCTCATATTGAGGTATGTTTGGACACTTTGGTCCTTTTCAACATTCTGGTGTACTTTGACACTCTTGTGTATGCACAAGACATGGAACTTTGTTCATTTGTTTGTCTTTTGGTCTTACTGCATATATATCATGAACTCTATATAGTGTTTGGTACTTTTAGGACCCTCCCCCAAACCTAAGGGAAACAATGTCCTCATTGTGAGTGTATGAAGGCTACAAATTGGCCAAATTGAAATGAAGGCCCAATTGAATCAAGTGAAAGCTTTGGAAATGGTTGGCTGGTTCTAGAAGCTTAATTTAAGACAAAGATGGTTTAAGCTTTGGATTATTGTGGCTATGACATCAATTCAAGCATTTGTACAACAAATTCATTTTTTATTCTATTTTTGGTGCATATATGGCTAAAAGAAAATATGCTACTTAAAAACCGTGCCCAAAATCCTAAAATGAAAAAGCAAAGATGATCAATACAAGTGTAATTGATTATCCTTAAGAGTAAAAGACTCATACTGAGATTAATTGAAACAGAAAAGCAAAGATGAGAAGTCACAAGTGTGACTTGGTCATCTTGTGAAAATAGGACTCAAAGACTCAAATAAAACCAACGATCCAACTCTAAGTCAAGACTATAGAGTGAGGATGTGGTACTTGGAATGAGTTTCAAACCAAAACAGTCAACCAGAGGACTGTATTATCATAAAACATGGTAATATTAGGCCAAACAATTGGATTGCCATTGTTTTACCATGAGATGGACCAATTAGAACCAAACAATGGGATTGCCATTGTTTTACCATGAGATGGACCAATTGGAACCAAACAATGGGATTGCCATTGTTTTCACCAATTAACAGACTAGATGCAACCAAACAATGGGATTGCCATTGTTCTGCCATGAAAAAGATYAAATAGAACYAGACAATGGGATTKCCATTGTCTTTTCATGACACAGCCTRAACTGYTTTTAGCATAGACCAKGGAGGTAAACAAGTGGGAACATCAATCATGGCCCTCCCTCAAAGCCATCATACCAGCTGTGCAAACAGCAACCTGACAATACCAAGACAACAAAGACAATGCATGACCAGGACTATATGATATCCTAAAAATAGCAAATATCCTCAATTAAGGAATAGAGAAGACAAAATCATCAATAGATATGCAAAATATGCTTTAAAAGGATACTTAAAAACAGCAAAATAGAAATAAACAAACTAGACCTATAAAACAACAAATTGGACAGCAAACTATAAGTATAGCATTTCTTTATGCCCAAACAGTAAAATGAAACTAAGATGTTGCTTAAAAACAGCAAAACAAAAGACAACAAATCATAAGTGTCTATGAACTAATGAAAACAGCAAACATATCTCAGGTGAGATAAATGAGACATACCAATAATATTAAAACAGCAAAGGGTATGCCTAAATGATTACAGACTATTTAAACATGGATGAGATAGAACATGGTGAAAACAGCAAATAAAATGCATGAAAGGGACTGCCTTAAAGCAACAAACACAGAAATAACAATCCCAACACAGTCAAAATTTGGATAAAAACTTGTTTCATAAAAGACTAAAACAACAAAGAAAGTTCATGGCTTATGGCTGCATGAGACTTAAAACAGCAAATAGAAATACATAAGCAGGACTGATCAAGGTCTAAACAGCAAATGAAAGTAAGAGGGTTAAAACAGCAAAATCCAGACAGCATCTAACCATTAAAAACATCAAATTTGAATATTAAACCCTATGCACAAAAACAGTAAAACAGCAAATGCCTTTAAAACAACAAAAATAGACACTAATCTTACTGAATGATCATGTATATTTAAAACAAAAAATATATACAAAGGTTAAGAAGTTAGAACCTGTCTTACTCTGACTGCGTAGGAGAGTCTGAATGCTGCAAGAGAATGGACTTAGGTGGAAGTGGGAGCTTGACTGCACTCTTTGACTTCCCATATTTGGCAGCAACTCTTAGCATCCTCTCCTTCTGCATTTTGTATTCGGCCCATTGCACTCTCTCCCTCTTCAAAATATCAACCTCCTTCTTCAAGTCATCCATCTTCATCATCAACTTGTGGTGCTTCTTTACTATTGTTTTCTTCAAAGCATTGGCATGATCCTCCATGGTCTTTAACAGTTCAACCTTTAGAGCTGCCATGGAAGAGGTGGGTGCATCTGGCTGTACTTTTGCATTTACCCTCATCAGTCTATCCAAATTTTTCTTGTCTATGGAGGTCTTCTCCATAGACATCACATCTTTAGGCAAGGCAAGGACTTGGGCCTTTTGCATAAGCCTATGTATTAAGGAGGGATAGAGCAACTTGCCATTTGTCCTCTCTACACATGCCTTGATGTTGGAGCATATCATCCTCCCAACATCAACTGGCCTAGCCTCTAGGATACAGTAGAGGATCAAGACTCTTTCTAAGCACAGATTTGTGTCATGGCTAGTAGGGTGAATGGTGTGCCACATGAAATAAAACCATAGATTGGCTTCAGGCTTCAAATACTGGGTTTTTAGAAGCCTAGCCCTTCCCTTAAAACTCCAAACAGCCCCTTCATTGGCTATCCTAGCTAAGATCAAATCAAACTCTTCATCAGAACACCCACCTGTCAACCTATCTAGCTCAGAGTATGAAGGTGGGATGAGCTCTAGTAGGTCATTTATGGCATTGGGTGAATATGAAACAGGGTTCTTTCTTACTCTCAGGTCTACCCCATCAATGACTGCTACCTCAGTGTAGAACTCCCTAACCCAACTAAGATTGTATTGGTTAGGTGTGTCACACAGAATCTCCCAACCCAAGGAATCTATTGTGGCCTTGATGGAAGGATTGACCAACAATAATTGTTGTGAAAAACCCTTTTGTACTACCCTACCTTCTCAAAAAATTGCAAGTAAGTTTTTCTTGTTAGGGGTGTGCTAAACAAGTGTTTGGGCTTCAAAAATATACCTGGCCCTTCCTCAAATTGTTGGTCTGGCCTCTTTCTTCTTCTAGATGCCCTTTCCTCAGCCTCTGATCTCTCACTGTCCTCTCTCCTTCTCTTTGACCTCCTAGTTTCAACTCTGCTCATTCTCCTCTTCCTTGCCACTTTCTTTTTTAAGCTAGCCCCAGTATCAACCTCCTCTCTTTCTTGCTCAACATGTGGGCTGCTATGCTCAGGGCTATGATGAGCAAAATATGCACCCTCATAATAGTCATGAGTCCCAGAGTGTATAGGGCTAGTGGGTTGGTTTGGACTAGGCATGAATGGTTGAGTGGAATGGGGTGAGGGTGGTGGTGTTTAAGTGACAGGGGTGTTTTGTGGATCAGATGGGTGTTCATTGTGTTCAAAGGATGCAAGGCTTGGATTAGTGGGTGATAGACCTAAGACAAAGTCTAGTTCTTGGATGGACACAGTAGGTGGCAAATGGATAATAGGTTCAGTAGGTGTAGATGGTGTGGTTATGGGCTGAATTGGTGAAGGTATTGGGCTGGTGGTGACTGTTTCAACAGGGGGTGGTCTAGAAACTGTTTGGGTAGTGGTTGTATGGTCAAATATGGTAGGTTCTACAGTAGATGATGAAATAGGAATAGAGGTAAAATATGGTGAATCCATGAAATTGAATTCAATGGGTATGTCTCTAGTGATGGTGGGTGTATGGGTGGTGGTAACAGGTGGTTGGATAGGGGATGGATCACACTCTGGTTCCCTCCTAATTATCCTATCCATGGCTGCCAAAGCAGCACTAACAGAATGCTTAAGGGATGAATTTCCCTTTTTAGGAGCTTGGGCAGCCATAGAAGGCTGAGTTTGGATCATGGCAATAGCAGGGGCACAAGTTGTTGTTCTTAGCCCCAAAACTTCATTAGAGGCAGCAATGGCCTCATCCACAGATTTCCTCAACATAAAGCCCACACTGGCTTGAGGATAAACAGGAAAGCTAGACAACAAATCCATAGTTAAAGGTCTAGTGATTCTCAAACCTGTTTGGAGCCTTTCTGTGATGCTTGGAGGTATGCTTTGAGTGTTCATTTGAGTTGTTGCATCTACCAGTGTGTTTAAAGAAGTTGAATCTTCTTGTGTTGGTCTAGATGCACTGGTTTGAGCAACAGGCCTCTCAGGTGGTGAATCACTTTCATCAGATAGGTTGATCACAGTGCCCTTCTTCTGCTTCACTGATTTGAAATTTGTAAGGCCTTTGGCTCTGCTTCTGGTTATTCTAGGGCCAACTTGGTATTGTGGTTGTGGTTGTGGTTGTGGCTGTGGCTCAGTCTTCACAACTCTTTGAGGTTGAGTTCGAATTTGAGGAGGAGATTGGGGTGTTGATTTGGAAAATGGAACCTGCCTCAAGGGAATGGCATCAATGGGCTCCTCCTCACTTTCACTAGATTGATCATTGGTATTCACAGGGGGCATGGAATCAGATTCTCCTTCCCTTCTTCTTGCTCGAGACTTAAGGATGGCCATACAAATGAAACAGGGAACTGTAGTGGTTCTTGGAGCAAGGAAGAGCAATGGCCGTGAACAGTGGCTAATATCAAACCCAAATGGTTTATGAACAATGATTAAAGGGTTATATGGTTGCTAAACTTCTTCTTCAAGATTTTATTTCACCAATTTCAAAACTTTCCTTTCGGTTGATTGACAGTTATCATGCGATGAGTTTGATTAGTCAGAAATCGTACCTTGCTGGGTAATGCTAGTTCAATGAAGTCTTTTCCTTCTTGAAAATGAGTATTTGGTGAGCTATTTCTGACTTTTCTTTGTACGATGAAGAGAGTACAATGATGGAGGTCTTCGCCTGAGTTGAGAGTTTTGAAGATGAAAGGTCGGTCACCGGTCGTGGTCTGATACAAAAGCGCGGGATGTTTGACAGGCTGTACCGATCGCGGGCTTCGATGTTGGGCTTCATCTTCGCGGCCTTGTGGCTTGGGCTTCTTCATTCACGGCCTGTTCACAAGAAAAGCAAATGGGCCAAGCCTTCCTTTAGCCGACCTGGAAAATTAACAATAACAAACTAGGCCTTTTTGCTTTGAATTCAATTTCAGTCCAAAGATTAAAACAAAACCCAAATTTTATATATAAACCTAATATAAAAGAACTAATTATTCTAAGAAAAATAAACTGAAAATTAAAAATGAAAAAATTTAAAAATATAAGAACCTATATATATATATATTATAAAAGAAATA